TATCTGTTCTTGATCTTATCATACATACATACACAAACCTGTTACCTTCTTCAGATGATGGCGAGTAGATTCTATCAGGAATTGATAATCAAAATCAATATGTCATACCAATCCATGAAGAAAATAGCAGAACCCACATGTTCGATATGTCATACGAGTCCATGAATAAAATAACAGAACCCACATGTTTGACAAGTTCTGGACAATCTTAAACTTAAAAAGTTATATTAGAAATTTAAGGATGTGAAATTCAATAATTAATAAAAATATATTAGAAAAATTATTTAAATTATATAAAAACTTGAAATTTTAAGATGCAATGATACCTCCTCGGTTGATCCGCTCTTCATGTATACGAGACATAGTTGGGCCAAGCTGAAGGCGACATATCAACGACCTATCCTTAGGCTAAGCTACTTAAAACCAGTTCAATCAAATAACAGTCCAATTCCAAAGATGATTTCTCACCACAATTTACCACATGGGTAAGAAATTGGCCGAAATCGCTGGACTGTACTCGCTTTATGCCATGGACCCAACCTTCTTTATTTCTTTAATCATTGTGATGATTATTCTTCTTTGAAAAATAAACAAATGAAAATTCATGGAAGAATCATATAAGCTCCTACTCCTATACCACTGTCTTACATCTCGATCACTCCAAATTCTTTCTTTACTATGCCATGGAAAGAGATATCAACATTCAGCAAGATGCTCATCATAACATGCTTAGCTCTTCTTCTGTCATCTCCGCCGCTGTTGCAACCACCACCGCCGCATCCTCTTCCACTTCGAAATATAGTATACGTCACAGAGGATCAAAGAAAAGGCAAAGTAGTGGTGATATTGGTGACGGAAAGAAGCATCCGACATACCGCGGAGTACGGATGCGAAGCTGGGGGAAATGGGTGTCTGAAATCCGAGAACCAAGGAAGAAATCAAGAATATGGCTTGGAACATATCACACGGCTGAAATGGCTGCTCGAGCTCACGATGTAGCCGCACTGGCCATCAAGGGCCACTCGGCTTACCTTAATTTCCCTCGACTTGCAGAACTACTTCCTCGACCCGCCACCACGTCCCCCAAGGACATCCAGGCAGCCGCTACGCTAGCGGCTGCCTCGACATTTCTCGACACAAGGCGGTGCAACATCGAAGCAGAAGATGAAGATGAAGATGAAGATGAAGCTGGAGCAAGCCAAAAAGATCAAGTTCCTCTCTCAAGTTCACCCTCGGTCGATGACGATGACACCTTGTTCGATCTACCTGATCTCGTGATCGATGTCACGGATCGAAGCCATGGATTCATGTCTTGTTCTTCAACGTGGCAAATGTGTGCAGTCGATGCTGGGTTCAGGGTTGAGGAGCCATTCTCCTGGGACTACTACTAGGAAATTGAAGAGCGTATTATGGTATATATGGAACCCATACTTTTCATGGTCAAGAGCTCTAACTTTGAAAATCCATCACCAGTTCGCACAATAATCAACTGCAGATTTCTTGTAAGTTGGAGATACATGTAAACATTTAATAAATGGCGAGTTTCTTCCTTTGCGACTGTAATTCTCTGCAACTTTTGTTTTGTTATAGTATTTGTTTATAAAATTCAATTTTGTACTCTAGATACAGTGCTATGATCAAATACCGATAGAATAGGAGTAATGCATTTAAGTTCAAAACAATAAAAGTTTATTACGTATTTAATTTAAAAAAATAGAGCAAAAGTATAATATTATAACTTAAACCTAGTTTTAGAAGGGACAAAAGCCCCTTCCACTCTTTACATGTATCCGAACCTGTGTATTCTTATCAACTTCAGCACCATGGTAACTTTAAACCTTCACCCTCCCTTAATGTAACTTTAGATTCAAATGAAGACTTAATTTAAAGTCTCTAAAGACTAAAGTAATTGCCATGCAAACAGTAAAGGTAAACACTTGCTAGTTACATGTCAGTTCATGGTTGGAAAAAGACCACAAATAATGAAATAAATGGGTGATGCTTTTGTATTTTCTTTGTAAATCACATATTTAATATTAATTTTTATCATTTCTAATTTTCGAAGGTTTTGAAGGTATATATCCTCTAGATAATTATAATTGTTAAATTGATTATATGATAATTATAATTGTTAAATTGATTATATGACAATTAAGTTTATTTATATTTTCAACTTAAAATAAACCATAATGTAAAACTGAAAAAGAGAATTTATCTCTTAACATATCTCATCGATTATTATCTTTTTAGATCATTTACTTCTTGGTTTGACTTTTCGTTTAAATCAAAAGAGTAAATCATGGAAAGTTGCTATAATTTCATTTCTTAGATGACAAGATGATATGGGGAATGATTTCTTACAAAGTTGTTTGTCTTGAAGAGAATTGGTGATATAGAAATGACGACGATGAAGAGAATGAATAGTTTTGCTTTTGCCCTACAAAACCCTTTTTCTTTCAAAAGGAAAACATAGGATATTCCCAAGATGTGTGGACATACATATAGAGGAGAACCCAGACAAGGTGACGGCACTATCTAACTAAAGTCATTTCCCAAAGCCCAAAGACATGCAAGCAAAAGTGCATTCATCATTATAAAGGGGTTAAAACCACCATTTTCTGTTAGTGACAAATGACATCACCCTCATTATCTCATGCTTTATGTATTTCTCATCATATATGGTAACCAGAGACCCACGTTTCGGGCTAAACATTTAGTCTTTGGACATGGGTTTCGGCTTCCATTGATTATGATACCATAAATCTTCAAAGCATGTAATGATATTCCATGGAAACGCAAAGAATAAGAATTTAAATCATATTCTGTCATAATTTTAGTAACTTTCTATATAATTTTAATATTATTTTTATTAGAGTTTAAATCAGAAGAGAATAAGAAAAATTTTGAGCTTCTACCTCAAGACTTGCAAAAGAAAGATTTTAAAGGTGTGGATGTTGGCACTTCGATTGCTCGTCCATAATTAAATCAATAAAGGTTTTCCAAAAAAAAATACGAGGAAAAACAAATATTTTTAAGAAGAAAAGATAACATATAACGATCACGAATAATAAAAGGATTGGTTCATTGTTGTTGTGCTCTGCAAACAATCTAATAAAAATCAAATGAACTTAATAAATGATTTAAGTGATAAAATTATTATTTTTTAAAAGTTTTAAATTCAAACAATTACGTTGTAGGATATATGTATTATCAATTAATTAAAAAATTATGAACGTATAATATCTGTAAAAGTAGGCAGTTACAAAAGAAGAAAATAATGTTGCTTCCAAATGCTTTACGAATGGACAGTGAGAAGTATTCTTATCTTATTGTTATCGGTTGGACCAGGGACCCTTCCAATAATGAGACATTAAGGATTGCCCAGATGTTAATGTAATCTTAGGATATCTCCCTACAGTGATAACCGGAGAGATTTACTAAATATTTTTTTATAATTAATACTTAATTATGTATCAATATTTATATGCTAATGATGTGTTTATTGCTCACCTATAATTTATTAGATTCATGACATCAAATATTCCCTTAAGTTTTACAACAAATATAAATACAATATAAATGATTGTTATTTCTAAAACTTTCGAATTTGAACATCGGTAACTACAACAGGATAATTGAACTTTCAATATTGTCAAATGATTAAGAATATTTAGAACATATATTATTTTATAACTATCTTAACTTCATAAAAAATATTTTATAAAAAGTTAGTATATACAAATATCTAGTAAAGATGAAATAATTTTTGTATTTGAATTTAATGAGTTTTCTTAATTTAATCTTTAAATTTTTCTGTCTTTTATAATAATTCACGAATTTTATAACTCTTTTCATATAAATCTTTCTAATAATGTGATACTTTTATAATATTATGTGACAAATTTTTATAATATATTTTTATAATATATTTTTAGAAGAAGAAGAAGAAGAATTGGATGGGAATGAAAGGTTGAGATTATTTAGAGAGGGAGAAGAAACAGAAGGGAGAGCAGAGGAAGGAGAATTGAACTGAAACTTTGGAATGTCGATGTGCATGGTTCCTCCTCCCATGATTCTGCTACCTGCTGTTGTAGTTAGTATTGTAGTAATCAAAGCTTAGCTTTTGCAGCTTCTGTAGTAGGCACAGGAAAAGTTCAAGGGCACACCTTAAAGCGAGTTCAAGACTCTAGCCATTCCTTTATTTTTCGGAACCAGAGATATTTTCGCATGGCAGCATTTGGTTTGGTCTCAGGTATTATTCTTGTAGATAAAATAACTGGTATCTTCTAAGAAAACAATATATTATGATTGTGACAGTTTTTAATGCATTGTAATTCATATATATCGAATGAATTTAGTAATAAAAAATATATTATTTATCTTTAAAAGTTTGAATTTAAACAGTTGTGTTTACACATTATGTATATATCCTAAAACATAGTTTCTTGTTGGCAAGACCCTGGTTTTCGTTGGTCGGCATCTACAATGGCATGTTCCGGCAATCACTGACAAAGTCAGCTTACAATATGGTGGCACCCACAAATTTTTGAGAAAAAATTTCTTTATAAATGTAATGTAAAAAATTGAAAAATAAATGAAATTAACATATTTTAACACAATATTAATACCCATTATTTATTTTCACCTACTTAAAAAAAATCTTCCTCCTATTTAAGAGATGAACTCCAATGAGCATAGAAAACAGAAAGCACCTGCAGGCTGCATGGTCACTGCCTCCATCCGCACCGTCTTATGGAAATAGTTCAAAGTCTAATTCTATCACAACACAAATCCCCAATAATTATTTCAAGACATCTAATTTTGTTGCTAATAGTTTTTTTTAATAATATAAAGTGATTACAAGATAATATCTATTTATAATCTTCTTTTAATTATTAACAACACACTGTAAAAACAGTTACTCTGACTCGAGACATCCAGGAAGAATAATATTTCATTTAACCTGAAGCTAAAGGTTTTATTACTTTTTTTCATATAAATTTTGGAAGCGCGATAAGTGTCTTTTTCTTAACAGAATACGACAGTGCAATGAATTATATCTAGGTTGCTTCCAATAATGTAAATAAGACCACATTTTCTGACTCTCTGTATATTTCTCAACTAACCAACCATTGAAACTAGTTAAATGCTTCTCTCTGCTTTGTGGGGAGTTCCAGATTTGGTTCAGATTCACTGAGTGGTGCAAAGTACTGATCCACCATATCATTCGACACTTTTTCCAAGCTTGGAGGTTCCCACTACATCCCCAAAGATAATAATAAAATTCAAAATCAGTTTTGGTAACAGAACACACAAATCATTAGGCGTTTGAAATGTAAAAGCAATGATACCTTTGGAGCGAAGTCCTTGTCCACCACTTGTGCTCTAACACCCTAAATAAAGCCGGAGAATATATTTGATGAAATCCATGGAATTTTATTCATTAACTGGGAAGTGCAGAAACTAAAAGGTTTCGTACCTCACAGAAGTCATTAGAGATTTGCTTCGCTATCCCTTGAAGAGACATCCGATACTCTCGAATCAAGCACTGATCAAGGGTTTGAAATCTGCCTTCTCGTATCTGAATCACAATAACGACACCATCAGTGGTGCTTGAATTCCGTTTCTTGGGGGGGGGTTAAGAAGACTTACCGATTTCAAAGACACCTTTAAGCTCAATGGTGAAGCTTGTTTAAGCTTCTTTAATGTGGAATTGCACCACGGGTCATTTGTTGCAGATGCCTCGCTCTCCTGAAAATATTACCATTAAAACTGTCACACTAGTAAATCATTCAAAAAAGTTTACTGCACCTTAATAGTTTGATAAACATCTTTTGTTAAATCAATTTTCCAATGTATTTAAAAGGAACTATAAGTGGTAAATGATTATCTCATGCAAATTTTGTTGTAGTGATATCTTCTAAGACAGACTGACAGACATTTTTCATTCACTCAACAGGTGAGCTATGTAAAAATATACCATTCCTTTATTTTTTGCATTAAACTGTTGATTTATTGCCTTTGTTCTTTTTCTAAACACTAAAATGAAACAACTTCAGCTTTCTAATTTATATAACCAGTAAATAGCAACAAAAAAAAAAACATCTTTATGGTATGAAAGACGAAGAAGAAAATGCTTACCATAGCATCAATAATTTCCTCAACTGTGTCATAGCCAAAACATTTATCAAGCACTTCAATCCTATATAGTATATATGTAATACAAAAAAATGAGAAGATATTGAAAATAATAATGATAAAATACTAGAGAGAACTGAATTGCTAGCAGTTACAACCAGTAACAGAAATACGGTCTACTATAAGAGAAAAAAAAACCTGTGCAATGCACTGATCTTTTCAGGATAGGCTACGTCACTATATTTCTCCAAAGTCGATTCAATGACAGAAGGATCATCAGTGACCAAATTTCCAAGCTCTTCTTCAATCAGTTGAAGCTTCTGTTATAGGAACAAAATACACCAATCTAACATAACCTGGAAAGATCGATAAATTATCAGGAAAAAGAAACACCCAAGCTCTTCATCAGTACTAACTTCGGTGTGTGAGAAGTGCGTTGCAATCCCGCAAGAAATCATTTCAGCTCCACTGAATTTTTCTCCCGTCAGTCCCAAGTACTCTCCTGCATGCATATTTGTTTAAGATATTAGTGTCATAGTGTGTATGTATAAATAAAATCAAGCTTTATAAGCATGCTAGAGAAATATTCTAATAATATTAACTTACTCATCAAAATAGAAAATAACAAATTGGAAGGAAGATCATTCTAGTTTTATTGCATAACACAATTAAGGCTTGATTAAACACACACATACATTATAGGTCCAAGAAATCAGTAATGAAAAGCAAAGTGGAATAAGCGTAAAGGAAACATACTGTAAAGGCCTACCTAAGTGGCCAGGTAGACGAGAGAGGTGAAAGGATGCTCCTGCATCAGGATGGAAGCCAATCTGAGTTTCAGGGGTAGCAAAAACCTGTAAAATTTTGTGGTTTAAGTTAATTGAGTTTCCAAATAGCAAGTTTATTATTATGAACAGAGAAATGAACTTCAAAAAGAGTCCCTTAAACAAGATGATTACAAGGTAACAAATATTTAGCCTGCACTATCTTAATAACCGTCGAAAGAGTAGTGGAAAGGAAGAATAACCAAAAGTATATTACTGCAACATACAGTTCTATTGGTCGCAAGCCGAAATGTCCCAGGTATTGAAATTCCAGCTCCACCACCCATAGTAATTCCATGTAAAATAGCCACCTATAAACAAATCATTACTTTATGTCGCTACCAAAAAAGAAAAACCAATATGCATATCTCTACCATCATCTCACCAGAACACCATAACAAGAAAATATTTTTTCAATAAAACATCAAAAAGAATAAATAACTAACAAAAGTAATAATAATACATTCAAGGAACAGAAAGTCAGAAACTGAACACTTACATGTGGCTTCAGATATGTACCGAGATGGTATATAAAGCTATACAATGTCCTAAAAAAATCCTTGCACTTTTCTATCTTCCCTGCACTAAGTCAAAAGGTAAATAACCATGAATAATCAAACATCTAATAAATAACAATTAAAAAAAATACTTCACATATTAAAGTATATTCAGCATATATTTTATTCAACTAGGTTTTACCTTCATTTATCAAATGATAAAGAGCAACAATATCCCCACCTGCACAAAATGCCCTTCCACTGCCCTTTTAATTACCAGGAAAAAAATCAAATTATCAGTAGTCACTTAACATTTTACACTATTATGATTATTATAAAAATTAATATTAAAAAAACAGAAATTACCTTCATGACCACAAATCCAACATTGGGATCATCTTCCCAAGCTGCGTACAATTCATGCAACCTAGCACCCTGCAATTGGAAGTAAGTTCCCAAGTTGTAAATCTAATAACAGAATATAAAAATTAAACTCTAAATAACGTAACAGATATTCCGAAACACAATTGAAATGCAAAGAGAAACTTTACAATATTTGTATTGAGAGCATTGAGGGCAGAAGATCTGTTGAGAATCGCTATTCGAGAACTAGCTTTACGTTCAACCAGCACCTACAATATTATGTATACATACGTGAGTACATATATCATTGATGCCTAAAAATTGATCGAATCCAAGGTTTTAAGAGAGAAAAGTGAACCGACTTGATTTTGAAGATCATCAGCAGACTTATTGACTGGAAGCGATGAGAGGTTTCTCGTGCGCCGGATTAGACTGTCAGGACGACGACTTGCTACCAAACGCTTCAAACTCTGCATTTCGGAATTTCACACAAAGTTTAGCTCAAAGTTTAGCTCAGTAACTGTGGAGAAGAGGAACCAAAATGACGTGCAGCTACCAATCTCCAGCACAAGGATAGTCTTTTCAACACTGGGTTTTCGACGTTGGACTTCCATAACGGTCTAAGAGCGTTTAAGGCCCATTGAAATGGGTTCTTGTTTTTGTAAACTACCCATTTAGTCAACTAATTTTTAGTGTGTTTTTACTTCTGTTTGGGTCAACGTCGATCAAAAGGCATACTTGATTAGTTTATCAATTTAAGTATCTAAATGAATGCAAAAGTTATTTGAACATAATTAATATTTTTAAATAGTTTGAGGAAAATTTTAACACTTAAACCTAAAATTTATTCAACATATTATTCATTTAAATGACAAGTGGGTTATTTGCTTATCATTTCCAAAAGTTTCTTATAGAAAAAGAAATTGGTATAATGTTAAAATTGGTCTTTAATATCTACTTGAATGATTGGTTTGACTTATTTTTTATACATTTTATCCTCTACAATTCAATTTTTTCGTTAAAATAGTTTTTATTAGATGAAAAATGTTAGTTGATTAATTATCAACATATATTATTGATGTAACATTTTTATATGTGTTAAATTATTAATGTATTATATGTCACGTCATTTAAAATGATGATGTGTTATATATATCATGTCACTTAATATGATGATATGATATGTGTCAAATTATCTAAGATGATGATATGAAATATCATGTCATTAAAGTAATTACATGACGTATTCTATCACTTATATTACATAAAGTGATGATTTGACATATATTATATAATTTAAAATGATGACGTGATGTAGTTCATGTCACACATTAAAATGAATGACATATTATACATCAACAATAAAGTACATGTGAAAATATTATGTCAATAATATGTGTTAATCGTTATTCAACTAATGATTTTTATCTAATATGGACTATTTTATCTAAAGATTATGTTCTAAAAACGAATAAGGGCTAAAGTGACAATTTAAATAAAAATTGAGAGTTAATTTTAGTATTGTGCATGAAAAATTATGTACATTTTTAAAATAGATAACTAAAGTATATAATTTTTATTCAATTTTGTGGTAAGGACCTAAAGTCATCATCTTTTATCAATTAAGTACCTAAAGTCATCTTTGGTTAAAATATGTACCTAAAGTATATCTTTTTTTCATCTAAATTCTTAAAATTGACATGTGATATTAATTAAAATTGACTTTAGGTACCTAGACAAAAAAATATATAGTATACTTTAACTATGTACTTTGATAAGAAAAATAATTTAAGTACTTAAATAAAAAGGTGATATATTTTATATACTTACTTTGACAAAAACAATTTAAGCATTTAGATAAAAGGTAATAATATACTTTATATACATATTTTCTGAAATAACCTAAAATTACATGAGATTATTATTTTTATTTTGAAATATCACACCTGATTTAAATATATTCATAATGATACATCATTATCTAATTTACTTACGTACATAGAATTATACTTCAATAGTATATCAAAAACATAACTTTTTATAAATTAACTCACTGAAAACGTTATTTTTTAGTTCAAACAGATGATCTAACAAGACCTGAGCCCTTGATTAAGAAAAGGCCTCAGTCAAATGATAGATATAAATCATATAGTGCTTCACTAGATGGATTACTATATATAAAAGCATGGACAAGGAAGGGGGAGCTAATATCACTTTCGACGAACCATACCAGTAAGCACTAAGCAGTTTGCTTGCGTAAAATGATAGATCCATGTCCATTACTTTTGGAAAGGGCATTGGAATGTTTTACACGTCCGAAACACACAGGCACAGGCAGCAGAGAAGTATGTTTCAAGAGCTTGACAAGCCGGTGGAGTCGTCTACACGTCTAAACTGATAACAGCAGCAACAATCATCAATCTTAAAGACCACTTACACTTTGCACACTTCACCTGCAAATATCTGCTGTAGCCATTTGCCTCTACCTTCAACAGAAAACATAAACTACAACTGCAGTTTGTTAGGCTCTGACATGACATCCGCCCTTGTCCTTAAATTAAGTATAATCATGGAGATTAAAGAGCTGTCTTAGTGATAAAAGAGAATATTATTTTCTCTTGACGACACTAAATTAAATAGTTTTGTTTGTAGATATGTAAGTTTATTCAGATTTGCATCTAAGTGTCTTAATGATAAAGGGGATGTTGTTCTCTCATGATGACTTGAGTTCAAATAGTTTTGATTGTCTGTGGTGGGTTTATAAATAAATTTTAGGATTAATGCATATACGTAAACAATACAAAATTTTTTAATAGAGTTTGCATAAATAAAATTTTAGGAGTATTAATAAAATGCATAACTAATCTAAAAAAAATTAGATTTTAGTGTCTACCCAGAAAAAGTTATGATTTCGTCGCTATTGTCGATAAGTGAATGTGAATCTACCCAGATTTGTATCTCACTGGACATAGATATTATATTATTAATATGTTCAATATATATATATATATATATATATATATATATATATGATGAATTAATCAATCTACCCATTCCTATCCCAAAATTAAACACAAAATACATCATCACGCACCTATCATATTTTGGATGCATCTAATTATTCACTAACCACTCCATAATTACAAATTTGATTGTTTCTTTATAACAACGCTTCCCTCCAAGCATATCCACCCTTTCAACTATCATGCTTCTACCATCCATTCAGCCTGTTTCCCTTCTCTTCATCTTCTCTATTTATGACTTAGCGCCGTGTACGGCGACAAGACCAGTGCCGAAGTTTCCATTTAGGGAACTAACTGTTTCTACTGTCAATAACTACTATAGATTCCTCAGTTCCAAGAGAGGCAGCCGTGTCAATGGTATATCAGAGATAAAGAAATACTTCCATTACTCTGGTTACTTAACGTCATCTGATTACAATACATCTGGAGATATCTTCGACGCTAAGTTAGAATCTGCTATCAAGCATTATCGGTCAAGGCTTGACCTTCAAGTTACCGGAAAAGTCGATCCCGATACGGTATCTCAAATTTTAGCCTCTAGATGTGGCGTTCCAGACGGAGAATCATCTCCTACATTGCATGAAAGGAAGAACTACGTGCATTTTCCCGGGAAACCTCGATGGGCACGTCGAATTCCGATGACACTAACGTATGGATTTTCGCCCGATAATTCGATCCATCACTTGAGTCTGTCTGATATAAGGAAAACTTTTAAACGAGCTTTCTCGAGATGGGCATCGGTCATTCCGGTCAGTTCCATGGAAACGGATGATTATGGCTTCGCCGATATCAAGATAGGGTTCTACAGCGACGATCATGGAGATGGGGAGCCGTTTGATGGGGTGTTAGCTAGGGATCCTCCCCCACTCGTTTTCTCCGGAGAGCGGGAAGTTTCATCACGATGCGGCGGAGACGTGGGATGTTGATTTCGGAGTGGAGAAATCGAAAGTAGCCGTTGATTTAGCGTCGGTGTCGGTTCATGAGATTTGTCATTTGCAGGGATTTAAATAGCGGTCCGTCATCGAGATAACGTATACAATATAGCGGTAGTAGTACCCTCCGAAAACATTATTATTTGACCATGACACCCGCAATCACTGAATAGTGCCTGCTATGCCTACGATATAGTGGTAGCGGTGCCATCCGAAAACGCTACCGTAATCGTGATTTGAATCTCTCGTCATTTGCTGGATTTAGCTCTAGTACAGTGAAAAGTGATGTTATGTATCCGAGCTTGAAACCTAGAGAAAAGAAGGTTGTTTGTTGATTGATGATATACAAGGAGTGCAATCTCTCCATGGATCGAACCCTAATTTTACATTTGGTTCTCTGTTGAAATCGGACACTTCTGCAAATCAAGCCATTGGTTTGAGATTTGAACCATCTTTATGAGCCATGTCGATGTTCTAGGCAGCTTCATTCTTCTGCATATATTTTTCCTTCTAAATTTAAAAGGCGAGCGGCTCATGATCTTGTGATCAGTGTTCTATTATTTATTAAAGAGATAAAATTAAAGAAAAATAATTAGTTAATATACACTTGAATATACTCAAATTAGTATATTTTTTAAATATAGTAAAATAATCCTATAAACTTTAGTCATGTAATCTACAAGCGGGTTGTCTCCTTAACTGTGGCTTCTTAGTTGAAGGCCAACAACAGCATTGAGTTGCTGTTTCTTTCTTTGTATTAAGCAAGGCCATGTAATCAAATTATTCTATAATTATTTAGTATCCGGTTAATTTTGTCTATTATTTTAAATATAAGTCTTACAAAGACTTATTATAAAGATAATTTTTCTAATTTAATTAATCAAAATCCTTTTTAGGTTCAAAATATTTTTCTTTAACATTGCTCGTGTTTTGAAAATTTTAGAAATTTGAGGTCAATCAATTATTCTGGACTAGATATGATCAAACACTTACACATTTAAATTTCACATATTGAACCCTTTTTCTACCTCAATCACGCTATTAGTGCCCAAATCACTAGAATATATTCCAAACTCTACATATTTATGCATAAACATCTTGATTCCCCTTCTCCTATCTATTAATCTAACTATAAGATCGTCTCAATTTTTATATATGTCATTCTTCATGTTGCAATGGACACTCCTACTATTTGGATGCTAAAAAATATTCTCTTATCGTCAATGGTCGAGAGGAAAGGGTTTTCTCTCAATTTTATACTCGCTCGTTCTTTTTTTTCCTTGCATATCATAACTTGGATCGTGAGATTTTTTTTTATAGTTTTATCTTATTTCTTTCTCTCTTGATTTGTTGGTGGTAGTTGATTAAATGAAGGGATATGACCAACGAAAAAAAGTTGAATTTGATTTATTGGATTAGGATAAAGTCATTGGGAAGATAAAGATTGGTTGGTGGTGGTGGAGTTTGGGACTCTCTAAGTTCAAGGGAGACGAACTGAGTAAGGTTTTTGGTGAACAAGTTGAATCAATTTAAGTTTAGATAGATGGATTTAGGTTGGTTCATGTTTGGGCTTTGAGGACATATTGTAACACCGAAATTTTCAGGTTTACCTGAGATGCGTGTGGACCTCGTAGAGTTCATAATTAAAGTTATTGGGCTATGTTGGACATAATTGGATTGGAATTGGGCCCAAAAGAGTTATAAAATGAGTTTTTTTTAAATGCAAGGCATTATGTGAAGGACTAAAAGTGTAATTTGACTATTAAAGTAAAACAAGGATGATATTAGGGGTTTTCTCGTCTTTTGGGGCGTTAGTTTTGTGGCCAAATAGCATCCTCTCTTCATCTTCTTCTTTTATCCTCTTTTTCCCTTCCTTAAGCCTTCATAACTCCAAGTGGTTGGTAAGATCATCTTTCCCTACTCCTTTAGGCTTTTAATTTGTCTCAAACACTTCCTACAACCCTTTGTATGTTAAGAAATCCTTGCATTTTTGTTGGCTAGAGAAAAAGGTGGAGAATCAATCAAATCTTAACGAAATTGGGTTTGGCTAAGCAAGGAGCTTCATTTCTGGATCTTTAATCAAGGTAATGTATTTGTAATTCTTTGGAGTACTAAGGCTTTCATAAATAAGAAGAATTGATAGGATTTGGGTATTTGAGCATTTTAAGGTTTCATACTTAATTCATGACATAAATGATAAATTTGATGTAAAACGTATGTTATTATGACGGTTTAAGACCTTAATTAACTTTCTAAAGCTTTAACACATAATTAGGAACCAAACTAAGGCCTGTAGAGTGAGTTTTGGGTGTTTCCCGAGCTTAAATAAGACATTTCTAGGTTCGAATATCGATATTGGATGAACAATATCGATATTGGATGATTGGGACAAAATTTGAGGTTTTCAAGCAAGGAGTATCGATACTGCAGGGGAAAGTATCGATACTGCCCTTACAGTATCAATACTCAGGGTATAAAGTATCGATACTATACCTAATTTTTAGCAACAGAAGCCATTTTTGTATCGATACTCATAGGCGTATCGATACTTAACCCTAGGGTATCGATACTGCAAGTAGAGTATCGATGCTACCGACTTTGGATAGTTAGATTTAGCCTCTTTAAAACCCGTAAAAGCTAAGGATAATTCGTAATGGTAGAACTTTGTCTGTGAGGGATGTAAATGGTCAAAGAGACCCAAAAGCACTTGTAGGATAGGGTTAAAACCGAAGTAACCATAGTAGGTGTAATACATTCAAGTACCTTCAGCCGAGAATGTAGCATCTAAGAATGAAAGATCGTTGTAGAGGATGTACCAACAAGTGGTATGACGAATTAATTAGATTACGATATAGCAGAATTGTGTGATACAAGAATGTTAGCGAATGATGAGCGTATATTTGTCCCTCTAATTCGAGGGAAAATTAAGGGAAACGTAGTAAGAATGACTAGAGTATCGTTACATAGTATTGAACCCGAGTTAGGTATCGGGCTATTAAATAATACAACAAGTGAACATCAGAATATGTATCATCGTAAAATCATGAACATATAAAAACCTCTTTAGAGACATAAATAACTAAAATAACCTTAAGTACTAATGACCATAATAGAGTAACTTAATAATTATCATGAATAATAGACTAATAATCCCTTATATAACGTTCTAGATAAGAGAACAAGTGAGATTGTAACTAGTCAGAGGGTGGCCTAATTTTAGTGTGTTTAGCTATACTAGAGTGTAGTTAGACTACCTTAGTTGCCCTAGTGGGGTATTGACAGTGCACGAGGTACTTTAGTGGCTAACTAAGGTATGAGCGAACACTCACGAGGAGTGGGTTAGCTATGTCAGTGCTGTATAGCCTTTGGGCCCTTAGATATGCATGTATAGTTGTGTCAATCTAGTACATCAAATATCCTTAAAGCTTGGCTTGACGACTATGTGAAACCAATCCAATGCTTCAGTTGAGCGAGAATTGTACCGATGTTATGTGACATCATGTTCTCCCTCCATGATCTACCTGATGGATATGTGAGACCATGAGATCATGTAACAGCTTAGTGGGAATTTTACAGGTGTTATGTGACACCAAGTTCCCTCGATTAACTAGTGTATGATGGCTATGTGAGACTAGATACCAACAATGTTGCATTCAGATAATGTACAAGAGTGTTAGTGTCACATTTAGATAATGCATAGCAGTTACAATCATTAGAGTTATAGACCCTTTAGTGGTGTACTCATGGTGAGACCTTTTAGCAGAGAATAAAGGGAAACGTGAAACTCCTACTTTAGTGATATAATAGTTGAACCCTAAGTAAGTAGCATTTAATTAGGATCATGCATGTACCTATAGCTTAGTACTATATCTTTATCATGCTTGTGTTTATGAGACTCATAATGTTGCTCTAGATTAACGATTATACTATTGGGCTTTGTAAGCTTAGCATTCGAATGTTTTTCATTTGCAAGTTAGTAGCTTGAATCGTTGGTAGAGAACCATCCACTACAACAAATTTTCTTATTAGTGGCATCTAGGTTATTGTCACTAAAACTTCAATTTATGTCACTAGATGTATTTTGTGATGTAAAAGTCAATGTCACGACGATCGTCACCCTAGGTATGTCACTAAATGTCAAAAGTGACGATGTATGTGTTATCGTCATGTATTGTTAAATATATAGTGACGCTAATGGATAACATCACAGTTTAATTTGCATTCAATGACAATTACTTTTGTCACCAAATGATGTACATTTTCGTCATTAATAAATCATATCGTCACCAATAACACAATAATTTCATTGTATACGTGACGAAAAGAAAATTGTCACATTGTTAGTAACGTAGTATATCGTCACCTAATAATTGCATGGATGGCATTTATATATAATGTCACTATATAATTAATATTCAATGACAACTAATTATGTCACTAGATTATGTAAAATTTCGTTATTGATGATTTATATATCATCACGGATAATACATTAAAATCAACCTATATGTGACGAAAGAGATATTGTTAAATTTTTAGTGATATAATATAAATGTTACCTAATAATATTATGAATGACGTTTATGCATAACGCCACTTTATAATTTATATTCTATGACAATTGGTTACGTCACTAAATTAAATAAGATTTTGTTATTGATAATTTATATTGACAAAAATAATGCATTAAAATCAACTTATATGTGACGAAAGAGATATTGTCACTTTTTAGTGACATAATATATCGTTGCCTAATAATATTATGAATGATGATTATGCATAACGTCACCATATATAATGTCACCAATATAGTGGCAAAACTAAAAATTGTCACCATATATAATGTCACCAATATCGTTTTGTTCCGAAGTATGTGGGCAAGAATGTTGAAAAATAATATCATGATGATTAAAATAAGCATCTAACGTTTTAAATTCAGTCCCAAAATCTGATTGCACTATTTTAAGTTTACAATTAAACTGTCGTTCAGTCATCGCATGAAAAGAAATAACAACATTACGAGCATCAGACTTTCAAGCTAAAAAT